CGGCCATCCGCCTGAGGACTGGTCACTGGACGGGAGGTGTCGCCGAGGGGTCAGCAACGTGCACCGGTGCAGCTGGGTTTATGGGCTGCAGTTGCGAGCAGCGAATATGTGCCATGGTGTCAAGAAGGCTGTGGCGGAACAAGCACGGTCTCTTGAAATCGAAAGCGCTATGTGAACATCGTATACCTATAATGGCGTTATGTGATCTTAGTGAAGTCATATATGACGACCTGCGAGGTCCACAATGCAAATGATCAAGACCGACATTACTGTATTAACCCGCGCACCGACGGGGGTCTGCGCCAACTTAGTACCGACGGGGGGGCGGATGACCGCCCCCCCCCCTGAGATCTCGAGAACGAAGCAAGATAGCGACAAGCGGTAAACGGCATCGGATACGCACGGTCAAGATCTACAATTTTTACTGAGGTCATTTTCAGGTCAGGTCAAAGATGACGTCACAGGGGTCGAAAAAGTCAAAATGGCGGCGCTAAATATGGAGAGTTTTCTCGAATAACTTTCGAATTAGTCAAGATAGGAACAAACTAAGGGCATCATCGTGATCCTCTTGTCAATCCGCATCGAATGATATATATGTTGACCTCGAAAGGTCAAGGTCAAAGGTTGACCTCAGGTCACGTGACCTCGAGGTCATCATGTATATCATTCGATGCGTCTTGACGAGCTGAACACAATGAGACCATCCACGCGTCTGTATCTTGTTCTTGTACGGAGTAATTGGCCAAAAACCTTTGGTGACCTTTGATGACGTCACATGACCTCACAGCTGCCCAACAGCAAAACAGACCTCAAGGTAGTGAAGGTTGATCGTATATGAAGTCATGTATGGTATATGGGGCCATTCCGACCCGTTTTAGTGGTAAAAACAGGGAGTTGATTTTTCCCCCATTGACTTATAATGGGGAGGTCGCGAAATTGACCTGACCTTAGGTCACCGATATCAAAATTCCGAGATATACAAATTGTAGCTACTAATGACCTAATAACATCCTGCGACTTTCAAAGGCCTCCGACATCTACTGTAGCTCTGGCACGGTGACAAAGTTGCAAAAAAGTGACTTGAGATTGGGTCATTCAAAGTGACCTGGTGACCTGACCTTGAAAGGTAGGAGGTTCAAACTTGCACACCATGTGTAAAATTGATAAGGGAATAGTCATACCAAATTTCGCGGCGCTACGCGCCGCGGTTTTCCCGCTATTCGCGAAAAACCTCAGGGGGGGGGGGGCGGATATCCGCCCCCCGTCGGTGCGCGGGTTAAAGTAACGAATAAGATTCAATTATGTGACTGAGATAGTCATCAGTGGCCCCACTTCTGTTTCCATCTCGTGGTGATACTGTCCTGTGCTATATTGCGGTCTCCATACATTGGTGATACTGTCCTGTGCTATATTGCAGTCTCCATCCTATGGTATGGTGGTTCTGCTGTCTATTATTGCAATCTCCATACATTGGTGATACTGTCCTGTGCTATATTGCAGTCTCCATACATTGGTGATACTGTCCTGTGCTATATTGCAGTCTCCATACATTGGTGATACTGTCCTGTGCTATATTGCAGTCTCCATTGGCGATACTGTCTTGTGCTATATTGTTGTCTCCACCAATTGGTGATATTTGTCTTGTACTATATTGGAGTCCATACGCTATGGTATGATGAGTATGTTGTGTATCATTGCAGTTTCCATACATTGGTGATACTGTCCTTTGATATATTGCAGTCTCCACACCACATTGATGATACTGTTCGGTGTTATACCTACTGCAGTCTCCACGCTTTGGTGATCCTTTTGTATCTAGGTACTCTTGCAGTCTCCAACCGTGGCGCTGGACAGTTGTCTTGTATTTTGCTGAGGTCTTCACTCTTCAAGCTATGGTGTCTTTGATAAGTGAGCATGTTGAAGTTTTCGTGCTGTTGTTTTAATGTGCTGGTTAACCCTCGCCGGCCGAGAGGGGGAGGGGGGCGGGTGCCCCCACCCCTAAAGTTTTTTTTCGCGATAGCTCCGAACACGCTGGCGATGGAGAACTCAAACTTGACATAGATGATCTTTGATTCTAGCCAGATCTTTTGACACCAAGCACATTTTCGGGTCAGGTCAGGCCACTGACTTATGACGTCATAAGTGAACTTCTGCACGGTCTTCAGATGTCGCAACTTCGCAACGCCCTCAGTGCCAGAGGAGCTTTCGCAGGGAGATGAAAATTACAGGACGTAGTATCCATTAGAGGTCCCACAACTTGCATATCTCGGATTTTTTTCCAAAGGTCACATGAGGTCAGGTCAGTTACGTGACCTCACCATTATAAGTCAATCGGAGAAAAATAACTGATATTTTGGCGCCAGGAACAATCTCAAACTACATCAACGACACAAAATCGTGATTTCATGCACTTCTTGCAAGTTTTGATGCTTCAATTTTGCATTCTTGGGCTTGCGTGACGTCATCTATGACGTCACTGGGGTCATAAGAGTCTTTCGTCAATAGCTCCTAATCAAATTGAGCTGGCGAGTCGAAAAAGCAACCAATGGACTCGAAAAGATCTGCCGAATCGAATGATATGCAAAATGACCTCCTCCGATCAAGTTCGTGACCTGGGAGCTCTGACCTAACCGTGACCCGAGGTCAACACCTCAAGTTGACCTCACCCAAACAAAAAGTATACCATTCGACGCGCCTGAGCAAGACAAACACGATGCTGTCAAGATCGCGGCTCTACGGTCATTTTTTTGCGAAGTTATTTGCCATAAACCTATCCGGTACATTGGGCCACTTGACCTGATCTCAGAGGTCACCAGTTAATTTGCGACCTTAAAATCGGGTACCAATCACTGCGTCTCGTAACGGCGCACACAGTCGCTTTTTCGCGACGCTCTAGCTCCATTAGGGGCGATACGGTGAGGGGGTCGTGCCAGCCCCCCCCCCCTCGGCCGACGCGTAGCAAGAAAACCAATAGAGATCCGGCGAGGGTTAATAATGTGCTGGTTTTAATGTATAAATGTGCAAATATCACAGTACGGTTTCAACCGCAGACAGGTTTCCTCGTGCGAGCTATTGCAACATTCGTTCATTGGTGCGCGTCTGTCGTGTGTGTGTGGAAGCTGTTTTTATACTGAGTGATGCAATCTCGGAGAGCAGTTCCGGTATGTCGTGGTGCTCGGCTCAATCGCACCCACCTGGCTTTTACATGATGGTGTTTTCAACTCACTCCACCATGTGGACATGCACAAGTCGCACCTGTGCAACGTGCACCTTGCGGGAGTGCGGACGGTGAATTGCCTCAGGCAATGTAAGTGTCCCAATCTGGTCGGATAAGACGTCAGAGGTCTGCTGTATGTGGGTGAGGGTCAAATCCCCATCAAACGAATGGCATGACTATCGCCCGCCTTAGGCAAATAGTGGTCGTCAAGGAACAAAATCCTATAATTATTGGCATTGGTCCTCCTGGCGCGTGATGGGGTGAAGCTGGTGCATCGTGACCCCACCCTGATTTTTACCATTCGGCGGGACAACAGTTGACCAGAAATAACTCAAAGCGAAGGTCAGCTGAAATATTCAAAGGTATTATTGGTCTGGTTTTAACAGAAAGGGTGACCAAAATTGCCACTGAGGTCGCAATTTTGGCACCATCGTGCTCATCAAAATGATACACTTTTTGTTTGGGAAAGATAAACATAGAAGGCGCTAACCTCATATCACGATCGGTCAACCGTCAAGGCCACTCCGGACGTAAAATTGGCCAAAGGAGGTCACTTGCATTATCAGGTATTTGATTTGGAAGGTCTTGCTCAGTCAGAGCTCAAAACGTTTCTATCTACTCAATTCAATCGGGAATCAGTGGCGAACAACTCCGATGACTGCAAGCGATGTTAGCATGACGTGACTTTTTATTATTATTGATAATCCTGTCTAATTTACTGTCTATTGATAATCCTCAACATGACGTGACTTGTCACGTGCCTAAGGTCGACAATGCCCAAAAGCTCCGCATCAAACCTTTCAAGGCGCCCTATATGAGCTAACGATTTCATATGCAAACTTGAGACAATCTTTGATAGTTTCTGGCGGCCATTTTCAGCACCGACAGTTTTACCCCGTGAGTTGGGCATTGACTTGTAGGTATAGGACGTAAGAAATGGTGGGGCCATGTGATCCTTCTGAAAAAAAAAACGAAATAAGCAAGTTGTCAGGGCTTTGATGCTTAGGTAACTACTGAAGCCACCTCGTAATTTCATCTCCCCATGCGAAGGATTTCCCATATGGCACCGGGCGTGTTGCGAAGCAGCAACATTTTAGGATGGTGCAGGCTGAGCTCTAGAATGGCAACATACCGACATGTCAGTGACCTGGTCTGAGCCGAAAATTAGTCAACGGGCTCGATTTGAATGAAATGACAGACACGTTTTAGCTCTTTTGGAGTTTTTATTAGCAATCGAGAGAAGAAAAAAATATGTTAAAGACAGGGCAGCGAAGGCGACGGATTTTCGGTGACTCCTACACCGACTACGACTCCGGGCAGATTTCAACTGTCCATTCTGACCGACTCCGATAAATACTCCCACTCCGGGATACCTACTCCCTTGCCTACTCCCAAGATACTCCCACTCTGGCTCCACTTGTGCAAGTGAGCCCTGCCTGGCGCCTGCATGTCTGCGGAGTCAGAAGATTCTCGGTGACTCCGACTCCGACTCCGATTCTGGCTTTCAAAATCGACTCCAACTCCGACTCTGATCAGAACTGGCGACTTCGAAGTTCGACCACCTCAAACTTCACCTCCGACTCCGCACCTCTGGCCAAAGGTCATGGAGGCATTCCTTTGTGGCCGAACAGAGTTATTTACCCAAAACTGCTGATATGGCAGCAACAATTTTCCCTTCACTTTAATGTGGTAGCCCAAAAGTAAGACAATTCAGGCGCTCTTGATACATAGCTGACGCTCTCCGGAAAAATGGATAAACGTGCTGGTGCTGTGGACCATAAATAAACTGGTAAATAATCTTCACTTATTTATGTTATTATGATTTATAAGCATCGTGCGAAAGAAAAAAAGAACCTAGAAAATATAGGGAGGACAAAATTGAAATACCAAATGGGAACAGTGAGAGTGAATTCGGATAGCGCTTTCCCTGGGCGGTAATCACCACGCCATGTTGATGTGTGGATCGCCCATGATCGTAAATACAATACAATACAATACAATACCTCGTGGGCTGTGGCGATCATTTAATTTGGATTGCATACGGCAGTTCTCTATATACCGTGCATACGGTTTAGGGGTAAATGTCAAATTTGTGGTAATGTTTGTAGGGATATGTTTTACATTTGGAGTTTGTTATCGTGATGAATTTTTTTCTTTTGTAAACACTAAGATGCAACAGCATTATCAGTTTTGCAATTATTGATACATTTTGATTTACTGAAGCAGTTAAGCATGTAACTGTTCTTTATTGTATTGGTATGGAAATGCTAACCTTGTGCTAACACCTCCTTGCAGCGAAGAGTTAATTAACTTCATTTTAAACTCATATGATCATAAAAGATGACTACAGTTCTGAAGTCTGCAATAGTTATTGGGACAGTGGCAAAGGTAAGACTACTCTGATTTCTCCCTGAATTATTTACATGCGATGACATTCTTCTTACTCCAAGACAATTGTAATGTAACCACATCACTGCACCTAAGTTTTGAGTGATGTTACTTTCTCAGCTTCAGATGTGCAGCTTCTTTATCTGTTTGACTCTGTTCCAGGCATGTCGACTGAAAGTTCCTCAACAAACAAGACAAATATTGGCTGCACAACTCCCTGCCTCTGAACAGATGAGGTTCAAACACTGGAACCCTAAATTCAGAGTACTCAGAGGGAAAAAGGTATGATGGGAACATTTTTCTAGGCTATCCATTTCAGTTTTAATTACTGTACTGAAATTTATTGGAGTACTAAAGATTTCATGAGACTTTAAAAAATATCACGGCAGATTATCATTTGTTCTTTAATATGCGAGATTATTATGATGGATTCGTAGTATTTTTTTTTTTTTTATTCATTGGTTCACACTTAACAATTCACAAGTAGGGTGATATATTGCAGTAGGATCATATCCTTGATATCAAATGCATTTTTATTGTGCATACAAAGCCTTGAAATATTCACCAGCGGCAGCTATGAGCTAGGTAACCCTTCTAGTTGCCTTCATCATAGTCTCCACAGTAGCACCTTCCAGCCACTATGCGCTCCACTCAGCACCTTCCAACCACTATGCGCTCCACAGTAGCACCTTCCAACCACTATGCGCTCCACTCTCTCTACAGATCATAAAGGTGGAGCTGCCCAACTTCAACGAGGACGAGGAGGCCAAGCAGCTGAGCCCGGACGAGATCCGTAAGAAGCTGAAGGAGAAGGGCATGCTGCCGCCGCGGCCTTGGCAGGAGCGCACCATGAGCATCGGCTGCACGGGTGGCGTGTTCGAGGAGTACGTGCCGCCCGAGGGCGACGGCAAGGTCTCCATCGTCTCCACCACGGTAAGTGGAGGGAGAGAGAGAGGAAACGATATCGATCGGTGGATAATTGCTTCTGGATAAGAAGCCCCTCGCAGTCGGCACGCCCCTAACCCCCAACAAACAAGCAAACGAAAATAAAGTTTCAGGGATGCTTGAGATGGATATTGGCCTGTGGTTAGACGTAATGAGAGATGACAACGTGCATTACAGCGTAAGAGATCTACCATCTTTTTATCCCACTCAAACTATCTTATTCACGCTTTTCGGTGGGCATATTGTATGCCATGCCAGCCCAATGTTCGCTCATGCGTCTGAACCCGTTCCCATCCGACCGCAGGGCTTCCCTACAGTCTCCTGACCCTGACCGTGACCGAGGCTCTGTCTGACCGCTGTCCGGCCCTGTCGCCGTCGCCAGGGTGCCAAGCAGCGGCTGACGGCGCTGGAGAAGAAGGGCAAGTCGATGCTGTCCGTGCGCAAGATCCGCAGCTACGACGAGGAGTTTGACGTCGGCGAGTTCGCCGAACAGGCGGTGGAGATCTACAAGGCGGCCCACCAGGCGCTCACGGCGCGGGACAAGGCCACGCTGCACGCCAACGTGACCGGTGCGTGGTCTTGGGGGTGGACAGCCAATACCCATTGCTGGGAGGGCTGGTCCCAGATGGGCTCAGGAAGGAGAGTGTGTACTGTGTAGTGGTGACACGCTCGTTTATAGTTAGTAGCCTGTGTGATTGCCTGGGAAGGGTTCGTCAGGCTTTGCCTGGGAAGGGTTCGTCAGGCTTATTGTTTACCAAACTGGTGTATTTGACGGTGGTAAGATGCTGCAGGTGGCAGCCCTGAAAGTGACTGAATTTAGCTCGGTAAGGAAGGCTGTGTGCTGCATCAAACAGTAAATCTTCGGTAGACGCCCGAACCGCCCGCACTCCACAGTCCACTAAGTCTGACACCCTAATGCACGGCATTATCCTCCGCAGAGCTGGCCTACCCGAAAATGATGCAGAACGTGCGCCACAAGACGGTCCGATGGCAGCTACTCAAGTCGCTGGAGCCGCCGCGAGTGGTTCACGTACGCCACACGGACATCCTGAACAAAGAGAACGTGTTCGCTCAGGTGACGGTGCGGCTGCACACACAGCAGGTGAGGACGGGGGGATTTGGGGAGGGGGCGGGATAAGGTCGAGATTTTGGAGTTGTTAACAGTTCGGAGGCATCTTGCCAAGCGCTGATACCTCATGCCTGACCAGTCTCACTGTGGAAAAGGCAGCTAGCGATGGTAGGTATATCTCGCTGCTGTTTGACTGGAATATTGAGTGTGTCTGGAGGTAGGTATGACCCATCGGATATTAGTCAGTATAATCAAAATCGCTTCTGGACCGTTTTTTATGTAACTGGCAGACGCCGATCTCCCCTCTGTGTACTCTGTCACTCCACCTTTTAGCCCCTCTCGTTTCTAACTAACCCTCAACTCCCGCGCCCGGCCTCCCCGACATCCTCATCTTCACGCCCCTCCCCCTGCCTCCCCGGCAGCTGCTGGCTATCTACGACCGGTTCGGCCGTCTCATGTACGGCTCGGAGGTGGTGGGCAAGGACGTACTCGAGTACGTCGTCTTCGAGAAACACCTGGCGGACGAGTACGGACGCTGGCGCATCCACAGCAAGGTGGTGCCGGACTGGATGCCGGCCAGGGACCCAGTCACGCGGACATGGCGCAAAGAGCCGGTTCCGCCGCCGGAGGAGGGGGAGGCGGAGCCGGAGAAGGGCGACCAGGGAGCAGAGACCGGAGAGAAGGCGGCCGCAGCGGCCAGCTAGGGGTAGAGGGATGCACTGAGAGGGTGAAAGCGGAATGGGTGGACGACGTGACAGTCCGACAGAGCGTATGAGTCAGCGAGAATGGAATGCTGATTGACGGATGTCTCATTATAGTGTTGTTTTGTGATGCTCACATGTGTGCTGAAAAGGAATACAGTCAGAAGTGTCAGGTACTTATTATGTGTGTCGATTTTCGAATCTTAGGTATTGTTATACGAACAGAAACAATATTTTACACTATTTAACACAGAAATACGAAATGTAACGAGTATGCTATAGACTGCAAACGACGTGTTCGCTCCGCCATTGGTTCATTACGATCCCCCAGATGCTTCTGCAAACAACCCTCAGAGACAGGTAACCCGACTGATCACAAAGGCACGACTGTGCATTATCGCAAAGCCTTTCAGAAGACCGTAGATAACTAGGTGGATGCACGATCCGTAACTGGTAGCGCACGATCCATGTTTATTGACCGGAATCTACCGTAATGCCCGGGGAACATGACCGAGCAGTTGATCAGCTATCAATCTCATTTCCAAAATTGACTATAAATATCGATGAACATGAGTGACAGCGTTATGAGAGATGGTCAGGCAAATAACTACGTCAAACAATGACAACCACAGTATCTACGTCATGAACAAACAACCGTGACCATGCGTCACAGTTCTGAGAAACCACAGAAGTCGGCGTGAGCCAATACAAGAGCCGCATCGGTCCCTGACCATCGGGCCCGTCAAAACAAGTACTCTTCCGAAACCATTATCAAACGATTATTGAACCGCGTATGAACAAACACTTATTCAAGTACAAAGAGATCTCGCCATGCTAACAGTTCGTTAGTTAAAGGGACCCTCCCACCTTAACATTAGTTTTGAGTTGAGATAGCCAAGTTTGCGGCCAGGCTCAGAAACCACCATTTATCCTGGTCGCAACCCCCGCAGCTTTATGGTGTTCAAGAAATTTCTTCCCTTTACTTGCAGGGTGGGACCAGCGTGGTCCCTATCTCTTAACCATTACGGGAATCTGATGACGTCATCAGGCTTTCGATCGTCCGTTAAATGTTTGACTAAAACGTTTTGTAGCACGCGGTGGTATATGCTGCTTTGCGCGCAACAAATGCCGCACTTTCAAATAAAGTCGCTAGGAACAGCGGAGATCCCAAAAAGTAAACAAAAGTAAAAGTCTAATATCTTGAAAACCGGTGAATATTTTTCGATGAAATTTGGTAGATATTCGTTTTTGCTCTTTCTGAACCGAGCGACATCACTTTCATGCCAATTCATTAACTTTTTTGAAGGTGGGAGGGTCCCTTTAACTTTGCGTTAACAATTCACTAATAAATCCCGACCCCATTCCTACGTCATCGACGGGCGACGCAACAGTCGCAGTCCTCTGTCCAGCTTAAACCCTCCCACCACTTTACACTCTAACCCACTCCCCACTCCGTTAGCCCCTTCCTTGCTTTCCCATCCCACATTCCACCCCTTCCACTCCGCCGCTCACTCTGGAAAGTCGATGACGAGTCCCTCCTCCTCGACATTGCTGGCGGTGCCGGCCGACTCGCGGCCCTCCTCGGCATCCTCTGTGCTGAAGAGCTGGCGGGGCACGGTGAGCGGCGCCCGCTCGGGCACCAGGTCCCGCCGGCGGACGGCCGTGCGCGTCTCCAGGTGACGCTCCACCTCCTCGGGAGTCATGTGGCCCGAGTCGCTGAACGCGCGGGACACCTGCGCTCGAGACGCCTGCCCGATAACGGAGACGGGCGAAAGGTGGTTAGAGGAGACTATATGATCACTGAAGGTACGGGGGATATATAGAACGGTGGCCTCGGTGGGTGAGGATGTATGCCTCAGAGTTCGGTTCGGTGTGGTGGTTTGTTGTGTTGAATAAGACAGAGAAGTAGGGGGCCGCAGATCGATGCCGCAGACAGGAAAATTAAACCGTTGAAACTGGGGCAGCATTGCGGACTGCCTGCGAATGACTGTGTACCTATCGCGATCGTCGTACGCAGGCGATCTAATCAATCACTGAAATATTAATGATTTATTAGTTGCTTACCTGGCTTTTATTCTTGATGATCTGCTTTTTTCGTTTCACCGGGGAACGTTCTGCGCCAGTATCGATCTTTCTCCTGAAACCAGAAAGATCAAGGTCTCAAGGATAATTAAGAGCAAAACACCCACAAAAACGCCCAAGGTTTTCTTTTCTCTGGCGTAACCAGACCTACTTAGAGAAAACGTGTACTTATTAGTTTATTACCATGTCACCAACAACTCCATTTGTCCTTTTATCAGCAGAGAGAGGACCCTCCCCACGCCGAGGAACCCAGCACCCACGGTCCCGCTCTCCAGTTCAGACCACTCTGAGCAGCCCCTCCCTCCCATGCTGCCCCTACCCGCCGTGTCGTGCCGTACCGGGCGTGCTTGGTGTCCAGCTCGGTGTCCGAGTCCTCAGTGCTCTCCGAGTCAGACGAGTTGACTGCTGTCTCGTACAACAACAGCCGGTCCAGCAGGAAACTCTTGTCGCGGTTCAGCTTTAGCAGCTTCCGCTGGCAGCGCTGCAACTCGTCACGATAGGACTCGTTTTCCTGCGGAAAGTGCAAGATACATTCATTAGACTAGATAAAAGCAACAACAAGCTTAATTCATGTAAGGGCGATATGGAAGCATTATACTGTATGTGAGGTGACAATTTGGCTGATATCAATCATTATTCATCCATCCGACAAAAAAGGTATCTATAAAAAAATGTGAGTGAATTATGTTCATCATGGAATAACCTTCAGTGAACATGGATATGAGACTTAAGTGAACAAACTGCAAGGCAAAATATTTTTAAAATGTAAGCTTAACTTACAAACACCAATGTTTTAAGCTTGCGTTTTAGTTTTGAATATTTCACACGGTAATATTCTGATTCATCCTTGATATTTATTGACGAGTTCATTTTAACAGGAACCGAATAATCTAACTCATAGGTATCAAAATGCTAAAAGCTATTTCGCCAAACTATCATCCAAAAACCACAACAAACTCAAGGTCCTATAACAAACTCATGCAACTCACGGGTGTATTCAGCAGACGTAACCAGCTGCTTACGGTCGTATACCATGGACGTCCTTGATTGACGGACATTGGTCAATGCAGAATACAGAAATATGATTGGCCGCTAGACTTTTACGTCATCTGAGGAACACGTTGTTTGTTGTTGTGCGAATGCGCCAAGTGGACGGTGTTGCATGTGGGTAAATATTATGGGCGCTTTTTACTTGTTTAAAGTGTTTTAGCTGCATGCAAACATTTTTTTGATATCTATATCTCATTAAGTTTGGAAAAATGTGCATGTCTTTGGAGGAATTTAACAGAAAGGTGTATATTTGCGTGTTTTGCAAAGCGTTTGTTCAGCCGCAGTGTCCAGGAACGCCGCGACTAATTTATATTCTCTGATTTATTTCCTTTTTTCAAATAGTTGGTTAATGATTAAGATATATAACCAAAGATGAAACATATAAGAGCAAGCTATAACTTGGCTAAGACCTTATTTAAAAGCAAATTTTAATCAAAGTGAGAATGTAGCAAGGCAAGAGTGTGTATCAGTTTTTCTTTTGTCTTGGTAAGGGCTAGCCGTTAGGTGCTTAGATTTCTGGCACTTCTTTGACAGATTATAAAAGAAAGATCCTAATGAAAGTACATGAACATTGCATTGGAGACTTAGGAAGAATATTCATATTGTACTTCATTTGAACTTGTGACTCCTAAAATTTTGGTAAAAACTCATATTGAAACAAGTAAAGGAGGCTTCAAATCAGTTAAGTCTTGGTGCCTACTAATCTTATATGAAATGCTGCTTGTCTTGACCTCATGTTACCAAACCAACTAGACACAGTCATTACTCAAATGGGTATCTAATGACCTTTTAAGGTAAATAGTAAATACTCAATGAATTAGTGGACCTTTTGACAATTGACAATGTCATGTTTTGTCTTTCATTGTTTTACATTTGCAACAATTAACATCAACATGTGCTGAGTTCTGGCTTCATGATACTAATCTGTTGCCTGACCCATTTCTGTTTCAGGCCAAGATGTCAAACGGCAGGGAGCACACCGTTCCGACAGACATTCTGGATGACCTGTGCAGCAGGTTCATTATCAATGTGCCCGAGGAGGAGAAGTCCCAGACAAACAGGATCATGTTCCAGGTGTGTCAGGAATGGCACAGATATATTCAATGACGGGGTTCAGGATCATTGTTTCAGAATGTGCTGTCTCCAGCTCCCCAAGTCTGGTCACCCTTGTAGTTGATGATCAGTAGATAACAAAAATGACAAATGTTTCCTGTCACTAATGGATAGATAGGTATGTAACTTTCTTGGTAAAAGTGCAAAAATATAAAGGTGAGCTCTTACAAGAGAAAACACGTTTTTTATTTGACAATAGTCATTCAACTCTGGTGGCAAAAGACTGCTTTCAAGTTACATCCCACATTTGTCCTTGTTGCAAATGGCAAAACAAGTTAAGCACCAATATATTGCTCATTCGCGACTATGTCCCTGTTTGGCCTCAGGTGGAGCTGGCCCACTGGTTCTACATCGATTTCTACTGCACTGACGAGAGCAACGAGCTGCAGCCGTGCGGCATCAAGCAGTTCGCGCTGCACCTGTTCCACCACCTGCCGCTGCTCAGGCCGCACCTGGCCGACTTCGAGGCCGTGCTGGCGCGCTGGCGCGAGTACAAACTGGCCGTGCCCACGTGCGGCGCCATCCTGCTGGACGAGACGTGCCAGCACGTGCTGCTCGTGCAGGGCTTCTACTCGCGCGCCTCATGGGGCTTCCCCAAGGGCAAGTGTAACGAGTCCGAGCTGGGAGAGCTGCACCGGTGCGCCGTGCGGGAGGTGCAGGAGGAGATCGGCTACGACATCTCGGAGGCGCTCAGCCGCGAAGACTACCTGGAGCAGGTGGTGAACGAGCAGCGCGTGCGGCTCTACCTGATCCCGGGCGTGTCGCGAGCCACCAAGTTTCAGCCGCGCACCCGGAACGAGATCAAGTCGATCGAGTGGTTCGCGGTGGCGGACCTACCAACCGGTCAGAGGGACGCGCCGTCCAAGGCCAAGCTCGGGCTCAGTCCAAACAGTTTCTTCATGGTAATACCGTTTGTGCGGGCGCTGAAGCGGTGGATCCAGCAGCGGCCGGCGGCGGGGCCGACGGGTGGCCGTCGCCGGGGACGCGAGAGGCCGCCGGATGAGGCGCGCGGCAGGCAGCAGCAGGCGGGCTCCCAGGTGGGTGTGCACTGACGGGCGGGCTGACGAATGGGCATTACAATTGCCATAGCTCGGGATGTCGGGAGGAAAAGGATCGGTGATGGTGGTTGGTTTTACGCTCGCCGCAGCATGCTGGAAGTGGGAAGGGGAATCATGTCAACAGTCAAGCACACTCAGGGCTGCTGGTGTGCTTTACCATTGTCATCGCATCGGTAGGACAGTACCTAGCAGTTACTTTTTAATGATATTACTGCTGCTGATCTTTTTATTTTTATTCGCTGTTGTGCTATCTGAAACTTTTATCGATACCCTGTAGTGTTTTATAAATACCTATCCTGAACAGAAATCGAACTATAGCTGCACCAGACCCCGGCCACTGATATCTGTTCCTCACACCGCTGTCCCGTCCCGCAGGTCCTTCAGGACGAGCCGACCGAGCTGGCGTCCCGCGGCGGCTCTCGAGGCCGCAGCGGCGGCGCCAAGGCGGCCGCCACGCCCCAGAGGCCCGCGCAGCCGGCCTCGCGGGGCTCGCGCAGTCGCACAAAGTCGCAGAGCAACTCCAGTCTGGCCGAGGACCGGTCAGCGATCGGCGACGAGTTCTCGGCGCCCAGCTGGGAGAACTTCAGCTTTGACAGAAAGAAAATTCTGGACGCGCTGGCAGGGTGACCTGCGAGGCGCTGTAAAAAGTGAGGGGAGGACGACGTGCTATGATGTGGGTTGAAGCTCCCCCAGCCAGTGTTAGTTGACAGACTCGGGGCCGATGTGTTATGCCTGAAGTGACCAAAGGTTTGTCGTTGAAGGTCCGGCCAAGGCGTGAACTCGAACTGGCCAAGATGTGTGTTGCGCCCCATAAGTGCGAGCCGCGCCGAGCGCACACCGGTGGTGCGGCGAGATGGAGTTTGGAGGTGCTTCTGACCTACACCCGTACTAGGTCGTCCAGCAGGCTGTGAGCGGATGGTTTGGCATGGTTTGCCGTCCGTGCAGCAGCGACCCCGCCTTGGCGCACGCCGGTATTGTGCGGCCCAGTGCTGTCTCAGCTAACACGATACAGCGCGACCATCGTCCATCGGATGTAGTCGGCAAGGCGTTCTTCCGAGGACGGACAAGGCGAGTCGGCTCTCCTCCGGGACCGGAAAGCTCCAGTGGTAGAGCTAAGCCGCTGACACAGTGGCTTATCTCACCGGTGTTATGGCTGCTGTCTGGTGCCTACAACGTGCCGCGTTCGGACTGTGCGAGCGAGTGGAAGTCTTCCATTCAGTGAGATTCAGATCGGTTCAGTGATCTCAAGTGTTGCGACGGCTAGTCTGCTCGGCGCCACGACCAGGCGTTTTACATGTGCCACGGATGTCCACTAGATTGAAGGACAGGAGCAAGGACGGATACAAAAACGATCAATTAGTGGTGTTATGAACGTGTGACAGCTTCCGAAGCCCTGTGAAGTCGCGGGTATTGAGAACTGGGCCGGACAGGGAAAGTGTGCCCGTCTGCCAGCTGCAATATTACTCTTGCCTCGGTGGCCAGAACAATGACTCTCAAATTGGTTATGTGACCCGGTCAGAGTGTTTTTGTTAAAGCTGTCCAACTACTCTTCGTACTTCATGCCTGCCCCAGTACACTGATTCGTTTGAAGTTCAGTCGACTACACAGGCTGATTCAAACACCAAGTAGGTATTGCACCACGTTTGCTTCTGTGCCAATCTATTGTTTGTCATGCGTCGTCGCTGTTTAGCGTCACCTGACACGTGTTCTCGCCGTCATAGACGTAATATCGGATGAACATGTGAAAGAAACTGTTGAGACTTGCTCCCCTCTGCTCCTCGTTTGCCAAGACACCTGGCATAGCACAGTTTCACGTCGGCTTCTTACTCTACCGAGATAAATTTAACCCAGGCGCCAATGTGTATTGTGTATCAAATGTCTTCGTTTCTGATGTTATTCCAGCTGTCCGGCTGTCGTCGTTTCAGATCTTTCTTTCGCGGTATGTGAACAAGCCGCATTTTCGAAGTTATGTGTCTCGCGCGTCACACTCGTTTGGATCTACATGTTTTTCACGCATCATTACAATATATTACGCTGCTTCATAACACGTGTGACTGGTTGACGGTTTTGTCTCGGGTTGGTGAAACGATCGGCCAGGTCTAATGCCTCATGCGGCACCTCCAAAGTTCTGTTCTGTGTATCTTGCTTGGTAACTACAGCCGCCCAGTGCAAGTGAAGAGTCCGGGGTGTCTATGATTATTAGCAGGGCTGCTCCAAACCTGATACGGTGCGACTCCTGTGCTCACTGTATCCACGCGATGCGGGGTCTCTGTTACCATGGCGACTGGCCGGTCATGCCAACAGTCGGGCAGGAGCGACATCTATCTGACATGACTACGACCGTCGACTGCGGCCGTGTCATTTACTACCTTGCCTGGTGCGTACGAGTATATGTCATAACGTCGCCTACGTTCCTACATGTCAGCACCGGCGACTGACCACTACTGCAGCTCCAGGCTTAATAATGGATGCAGCGACCGCGGCCGCCCCCGATGGCGACGAGAACTTCCCACGGGGGTCAATAGGTTGCCACGCCACCGCCGCGTGGTGGGTGCGTATAGGAAGGCACTCCTACTCCAGGAAGGCACCCGTCTCAGATGTGAGAGAAGGAGTTCCATGGTGCTGGGATATATTGTCTGCCAGAAAACCGGCGACCGTAGCAAAAGGTGACAATCCATAAACATCAAATCGAACAGACAAGCATTCGTTGTAAAGCTGTACATTGCACATGATTGCACATTTGGCTATATTTGCGAACACACGGTGGAGTATCACTCGACACAGCATTTTATAAATACTGTTCAACAACCAACGCCCTAAAGTGGGCCAATGAGAATGAAAATATCACACGATGAAATAGCCAGATAATCGATCACCACACTTGCATGATGCCCTGCGATGTGTACGAAGAACAAATGGTATAACTGCCAACCATGGATAGATTCTACATCTAATGGATTAATTCAGACGGGATTCAGCCAACCACGCCTGATATAATTGGTTAAAAAGGTAATGTTTTGGAAAGCGCACGTAACGGCGGTGCATGCAAAAACAAAGAATGGTGTTGTGTCACGAGAGCTCGCATGATAGGCATATCCAAGGCGGCATATCTCATTCGAAAATATGCATCGAAACAACGACACCTAGAACACATCGTGTAACCTAACAGCTGGCATGCTACAGTAACCACGCACTGTTTTAACTAGTTTGTACGCTTTGGCGGCGAGTAACATCACTCCTGAAAGTATCTAATAATCACTCTAGAAAGTCGTAAATGCAAAAATCATCACACACTTATCAGACAGACATATGTTAAGTTCGGAATTTCGGGACCCACTGAACATAAACATGATTACCGCATCGCTTCTTTTCATTGTTTCCCTGCATTTCTGTTAGAATGTGTAACAAGGAAAGAAAACAGTTGCTGACTGATTGTACGACAACCGAATTCATCTTGTTTTCAAAATGTATCAACAGCTTTGAAGACTTGAGTTCGCAATTATTTTAGGATGCGTTGAGCCAAGAATAACTTTTGAGGTTTGGAAGCTGAGCGCTCAAGTTCAAGTCAGTTCCGGATTCCAATACACTAACTAATTCATTCGACTTAAAATGAGATCACTACAATGAGATCATCTGAATTTATCACTCTTATTCCCGAACACAAGCCGCTGACAATTGATATAAAATCCGTTGGACTAAGGCACTGAAAATTGAAATACCATAATGAAGTACGTCATTCATGACTAGAGTCGGTACTTCCTCCCCTTGCTGCCCACAGAGATCACGCCTTTTTCACTTTCCTCGTATTGACCACACACCTCTTGGTGTCGCCGCCATACTTGAGCTTCAGACCGTGGATGATGCTATCGTAGACTCGCTGGTTCTGTGAGACAAAGCGCGCGCGCCAGACGTCTGACGGGTCGGTGAAGCCCGGCTGACGGCGGATCCCGCCCGGCTGCGGCACGTGCGTGAGGAACACCTGGTCCAGGATGACCAGCCGGTAGCCGCGCAGACACAGCTCCGTCATCTGACCGGTGTATGGGTCGGGGCATGGGTCAGGGCAGGGCTTGGGTCATACCTGAATTCAAACACAGGAAGATTGATCGCGCGGGAGACACGGGCCAGGCGATACGGTGTCACTGTAAGCCATTTTAACGATAAACCACAGTAATATACGAAGTAAAGCTAATGAACATGTCTCCAGCCTCCTTCCAAAACAGACCGACATCCGTGAGGGGACTCTGACCTGTGTCATTTTGTCCTGTTTGCCCTCCCAGCTGAGCCGTTCGTCATAGAGCGGCTCCGCCTGAGTACCGATGTAGATGGGCTCCCAGCGGTGGTAGGGCACCTCCCGTTTGACGATGCTGAGCGGCTGCCAACAGTGGAGCAGGCAGTCAGCAGAGCAGGAGGGACAGCGGCGAGACACACGTGGCGAAATACGGAATGGTCGCCCGGACCCATACAGACGATCGTCGGTATTTTGTGCAGCCGTCGGGAGGAAAACCGAATAGCGAATAAACCATTCAAGTTATGTTTCCTAATCGACTGGTCATGACGTAAATTGATCAGTGATAGATGCCTTACTATTTATATTTTATTATTGCCATTATTTTCACGCACAACTGATGGCAATGCCACATATTTAGTCGCAAACCAAGCTCACGACACATAACGCCTCCAAGCCGAATGGATCATGAGACCTCTCCAGAACTGTTACAGTCTGTTCCACTCTAGCATGCAGTCTATCCAGTCACTCCCATGACTCTAACCTGTAATCTTCCTGGTGTGAACGGCCGGCTGAAGTACTGGTTCACACCGGGGAACTTCTGGCAGTGCGGACAGACGTAGCGGTGGAACCAGACCGCCTCCTTGGCCTGCGCCATACGGATCAGGTCCGCCTTGCTGGTGGGGAGCCGGTTCTGCACCTCGAACACGGGCAGCACGTACACCCGGCGATACTGTGAATTAGGTAACATGGCAGAGTGGCAGTCACGGGAACATAGCAACACCAGCAGGAATATTTATAGCACACAGCTCAGAACTCGGAAGCCCAGTCAGTTCAGTGATAAGGACACTGACCTGTTTGTTGGTGGCGTTTGCTAGTGGTGACCGCACTCGGCCCGCAAGCAGAGCCTGGTCTCTGCTCTGCCTCGCCAGCATGTCCATGAACATGGTGACCGCACTCGGCGAGGGCACCAGCTCCGCGTCCGACACGAGCACGAAGCGGGTGCGCGCGGCGCGGCGGGCCGCGTTCCGCGCGACGTTCACCGGGTAGGGCAGGCCGAGCTGGCGGCGCCGGGACGGCTCGGCTGGGGCAGGCGGCCGCTCGCAGTCGGCCCCCTGCGCCGCCACGGCCGGCAGGCGGGCCAGCGCCGGCGGCCGGCGCCGCTCCAACACCAGGTGCACGCTGACGTGGCGCCGGAACGAGGCGTCGCAGCGGCGCAGGTAGGCCAGCCGGCCGGCCAACGCGCCCGCCTCGCCCGGCAGCACGAAGACGGCCAGCGAGACGGGCGCCGACCAGGCGGCAGCCAGCAGCGGCGCGTGCTGCGCCGCGCCATCCGCCGTGGCGTGCGTACACAGCGTGACGCTCTGGTTGGCCGCCGGCTGCAGGGCCGCCAGCAGCCAGTTGTAGAGGACGCAGTACGGCCCGGCCTCGCCCAGCTGCGGGGAGGGCACCGGGGTCCAGCGGACGCCGTCGACAGAGGTGGCGTTCAGGTCAGAGCAGTGCAGCTCTGCCCCCTCCTTGGTAGATGGCTCGGTCAGAGCAGCAGGACGCACTGTGATAGGTGTCCTGATCACATGATGCTGAGTTACGCCCAGCTGCAGTGGAGACCACATCACTTGTACAAAGGAGACTAGCAGGAAGGCAGCGGCCAGCCGGATACAGCACAGCCGTCGGCCATGAACTCGGAGCATTGCTGCCACGGCACTTCAGAATAGCCTGCACAAGGGAGAGGGATAATTGTCAGAGGAAAATATGCAAGCTGTTTCCAGTTCAAAATTGTTGGTACCAGCACTGACACCAATGACAAAAGCCATAGAAAAAACAAAAACAAATGAGCATGGTTGGCTGGTCATAGTGGCAAACTGGCAAGGCTTATAGTAGGTATAGCATGCCATATACCTACTGTAGGTTCAATAGTAAGAAATGTTCCTCAACTTCCATAAAACATGCATCAATTCTGTTGATGAGTTCTCACATAATGCCAATATCTAGGTACTCAAATAAAATATATCAATATAAAATTAAGCAAATGCAGGCTGCAGCAGTCCAAACTGTGATGCAGCTCAGTCCTCAGGTCAAGGTAGGTATCACACAAGATCCTACGGAAAATGGAAGAGGCTGTTGAGATCCCGCCTGGTCAGGCTCTCGGGGATCACGGCCGCTGCGCCGTGGAGGACCGAGACAAGGCCGAGGCGTTCAACAGGACCTATGCCAACGTGAGCCGTCAAGTACGAGCCAAACGCCAGGATACCAAGACCAAGGCGGAACTGAGGACACTCAACGGAAGAGAGTGCCAGTGTGGAGGCGCCCGCTCCGGGGTTTGTTTTCCGTTTACACCCCAGGAACTGGAAGCGCAGCTCCCAAACATGAAGTGCCGGAAGGCTCCGGGCCCGGATGATATCTGCGCGGAACACCTGCGCCACCTGGGCCCTGTTGCCAAGGCCGCGCTCCTCCGCCTGATCAATCAGACCTGGGCCTCGGGTCTCACGCCGTCAGCCTGGCGGCGGGCGTCCATCGTCCCGATTCCCAAGGCAGGGAAGGACCCGAAACTGACCTCCAGCCACCGACCGATCGCCCTCATCAGCCACCCGGCCAAACTCGCCGAGCGACTGGTCGCTGCACGACTCACACACATAGTCGAGCGTGACGACCTAATCCCATGCGAGCAGGTCGGCTTCCGCCGGGGCAGATCGGCCGAGGAAAACCTGGCTAGACTCGTGCAGCGCGTGCAAGATGGTTGGAACAGGCCGAAACCAAAGGGAAAGCTGGTCGACGGGAAGACCGCCGAAAAGTTCGCCCTGCTTGCGTTTGATTTATCCA